CATCTATGTGTGTTGCTATGGAACTCGGGTCTTCATATGCACATTTAATTCAGTAATTGAAAGAAAGAACGGGTTTTCTAGCTCTGGCCTATTCAGGTTTTGTCTTGAGACCACCTCTGAAGAACGCCTAGAAGCTACTTCACGTCAGAGCGTGCGTGGTTACTGAAGATTCATCAGTTGCTTTCTAGAAAATGCAGAGCACACACGGCTCCTGCTGTGTGAGGACAAGACCCCGGCACGGGTGTCGGTCCTCGACAGACCGGGACCTCGGCTCGCGAAGGACCTGGAAACGGCAGCGCAGGCAGGACAGAACGGCGTCAGGAGCACATCAGAGGGTGGAAGGTGGGTGGCGAGGGGAGGACAATGGCCACGTCCACGGAAAGCAGGGACCGGAAAGGATAAAAGCCACGCACGGTGGAAACAGTAAGCACAGAACCAAAGAGGGCAAGAAAAGCGCACCGAACTCTGAATGGCGGGGAGGTTATTTAACCATTTTTTTTAAAAAGGGGGGTAAGAGAAACCAACGCAAGGCAGAGGACAGAACGGCAGAACGAGGGATGCGCCTGACGGATCAAACTGGCTACTCTGGCTACTAGTTTTTAATTTCTGCAGCCCTGCCAACAGAGTAACATTCGAGAAAACGCCAGCACTTGTTAAAAACAATATGTGAGGGAATATCTGTTTTCTTAATATTTAACCAACAGGTTTTGCTATGTTTCTGTGTTTTGGAAAATAAAAAAGGCTAAGGCATATATACACAAAAACACACCACACACATTTCATCCTATTTTAAGCGTCAATGTGTTTGAAACAGAACTTGAGAGTTGATTTAGGTGTTACAAATAAACGCGGGACCATAACACTGACGAGTACTAAAATTCGACTTTCTACACAACGCGGGAGTCTCTGCCCAAAATCTAGCTTTCTACTCTGTAGAGACAGAGAGCTCTAGGACTTGAGGCGGCATTTCAAAGATTAGCCTTCCAGGGACAGCCGCCTCTCCGCGCTGCGTTTTTCAACATCTGACCGGTGCAGCGATAAACGCTTCACATGACAACTAAAAGATCCTCACCAGGGGGCAAAAAGCCACAGCCGTGGTGCAGGGTCAGGGCTGCTCAAACGTGGTTCGCCCCTGACAATTCCTGATCTATCTACATCGTCCCTGTGCTATTATTTACTTAATATTTTCTTCAAATCAACTTCCATATTTTAAAAACTGAAATACTTACTTTAGGCTTGTCCTAAGCAGTACAGAAATCAGCAGTTTAACACGCTACTTATATTTTGAATACATATTAAAATAAATGCTTAAATGTGTAAATAAATGTGTGTCTCTTCACCGTCTAAAAACCCTGTCCGTGCTGTAAGTTAAGGTAAGGTGCACCACCATTTACGGAATCCGATCCCACCCCAATTTCTCTAACAAAGTATATCTTGAAGTTATTCATAAATGTTTAAATTCCAAGTTCTTGTTCCCAAGGCAACTATAAAAAAATCCACATCTTAAAATCTCTAATCACTAAAACTCTGAAGTGCTTGGATTACTGTACAAATATTATATGCTACAAAAAGATGAAGCTTGTAAGAAAAAAACCTGTGAGTGAACAATATATGTAGATATGCAGAGACAGATATATTTCGCGGGGCTTCCTTAAAGGAAGCCAGTCTGGAAAGCCTCTCATCGTGCCCACTCTTGATACTGGCCCGCCTGTTTTCTTCCCGTAGAGCTTGCACACTTACATAATTCTTACGTAATCTAACTTTCGAACATACATATTTTCTCTCTCACAGATATAATTATTCCACTTTCTCTTTCATAATCCTTTCCCTTCTTTGTACCTCTCATTTCATATAGCAGGCGCTGAAGAAATGCTCGTGGAACTGAACAAAATCAATGTAAACCAAATCTTACGACCACGACAAATTGTGTATTTGTATCACGCAAAAAGAGGCCTTTATTTTAAGTTGTTGTTTTTTTTTTTTTTAAATCTCTTTAAAAGGCCTTTGTCAAACGTTTTGTACACTCTGGGAAATATATGACAGTTAGAAGGTGCACATCATAGTAATTTTTCTTACGAGTACTCCAGAACCTTTCACAGACAACGGGAGGCAGCTGAAAGAATATAAACTAAAGATTCACAATTTTATAAATTAGCCTTTAATAAATTGTACGAAGTATTTACTTTCATAAAAAAGCTTGTTTTTCAAAGACAGGTATTTCACTGTTACCCCCACCCGTAAGACTCACATGAAAACAAAACAGGAAAACAGAAAAAACTCAAATGGAAGGAAGAAAAGAGAAACTGGTTCACAGCATTTGATTTACTTCTGGACTCTCGTTCTGGTTTTTGAACCTTCAAGAGAAAACAAAGAAATTAATCATTAATTTACAAAAGCAAAAGAACAGAAATATAAGTATTTCTATATATAGTTATTAACATTTTAAATTTTATTGACCGTGACGCTTTAGAGGGATGAAATTTAGACAAAGGTGTAACTGTTAATACCCCGAAGATCTTAGTAAACTGTCAATTTTCTAACATGTCAAAACATATGCAAAGTCTACCGTCTACTCAAGTTCATCAGAACTCTTCCACTGATAGAACATACCCAGTTTACATGGGTCCCGAAATATTTCTCCCCCAAAATTTTATTATACAATTTAAAACATTAAACTCATGTAAAGTATGGCACCACAAGATGAACATTCACTCGCTGGGGGAAGCGATGAGGTCAGGCGTATTATGAAAAGCGAGAAATTTTATTCTAAGCGTGATGCCTTTCAAAGCCTGTCCCCTACACTCGGGAGAGCACTGGGCTACTCCAAAACGCAGTCCTTCGCACTAGGAACGGAACAGATCCCTACTGAGTAGCCTTCTAGAAAAGCATCGGATCTGATACTGGTCTAAGTAACTCATGACAGTTCCTAGTCAACTACTCCTGCGCTGGAATAAACCGGTGATGCTTTGTCGGGGGCATGGGAGCTCTGCCTCACCACGCCCACCCCTGCCCCACCTCCAGCTCCAGCACAGCAGAGTCAGAGGACGCCATGAGTCAGCCTGACCACGAATGCCTCGTGCTGCCACAGGAAGTGTGCCTTCCGGCTGCCTCACA